TTTTTAAGGTATCCTCAGACTCTGTGTCATTGTTTCAGTAACAGATCCTTACAGCTTGACAAGAATTAAACAATACTCAGTTGAAAGAGTACTATGTGTTAATCAGTTATTGGAAAAGTTATTGTGCAGAGTCTGGGAAATATAGTCCAAAATAACCTTTCAAAACTTGGGTGTCAATCCTTAAAACTTTCTAATTCACTTGACTGTCCAAGCATAACCTCAAAACTTTTTGATACACAGAAAGGCTATCGTGGAGTTTTAGCTACACAACATATTGCTACCATGTCAAGCAAAAGTGTTTCGCGGGATATGGGAACAAAAGCAATGATTAACCTGGGGAAAAAGAAGTCTTTAATCTAAACCACTCTTGACTGTGTCCAAGCATAACCTCAACACTTTTTGATACACAGAAAGGCTATCGTGGAGTTTTAGCTACACAACATATTGCTACCATGTCAAGCAAAAGTGTTTCGCGGGATATGGGAACAAAAGCAATGATTAACCTGGGGAAAAAGAAGTCTTTAATCTAAACCACTAGAGCAGACACTATTCATACAAAAAGCATGAAGGAAAGTAAGAAAATCTGTTTTTGCAATGGAGTAAATGCTTCTCATAAATGGTCCCAGCTCCTATGACTCTTAGGCTGTCACAGACAAGGCTAGGATTACAGTTTTGCAACAAAACCAGATGACTGGTCTACTTTTGCCACTTTTTAAAAAGTGCTCTGTAAAACCTTTAAAAACAAAACATTCCTTCAGAGAATTAACATAATTCTGAACCTTTTTTCCCTGAAACAGTTCTAGTTTTAACTTCTTTCCAGAATCAGAACAGTATCTTCCAAGATCATAAGCATTAAGGTTAAAATATATCCCAGTGTCCACAATTTATCTCAGAGAGATTATTTTCATAAAAGAATATTCAAGTACTGTTAATGTACCACATTCATATTTTGTTTTTGTTTAGTCGTTAAGTTGTGTCCAACTCTTCGTGATTCATATACATAAACCTAAACCTCACTACTGTACTAGTACAAACTAAAATATGCGTACTGAATCAACTGCTGAATACAGAATCAAGACTTAGATAAATCCAAACTGTTCAATGGGTCCAACTCCACTTGGAACTATCAAATGGATTCAGGCCTGAATACAGAACAGCAGCAGCCATGTGCCCTGGGACATGCCAAACCAGATGCATTTCATGACAAGTCTAGTCAGCGTAACAGCATCCTAGGAATGCTGCCACAAACTATAGGTCTTTTACAGAACACAATTAAACTACAGAGTTTACAACAGCAGTATTCTGCAAGGTGATTTAGGAAACTACTTTCACCCACTCTTATAGTGAGGGCATCCATTTGCATGACCAGTACAGATTTCAAAACCATCATCATAACAGAACTAACTTGTTATATGTAGTTTTCTTCAAAATGCACTAAGGAGAAGTGTATGTCACTCCTTTAAACTTTCTTTCCCAAACCCCTTCAGAATAGCTGGCCTAATCACCCATATCTACATAATTATTTCTATCATTTCCTGTCCTCCCCAACACACAATATTCTAAAGAAAAGAGGAAATAGTAGACAGGTCTTTTCAGAAGCAACAGAATAGGAACACACAGCCAGATCCACGAGCAGGTGAAACAAGATTTGATACTTAATAATAATTTTTATCATACCTTCCACTTTTCTCTGAGTCAGGGTAACGCATCGTAAATAAGTAAAACAGTAAAAATATTAAAATCACATAAAACCATCAGTTATATTCCAAAGCAACATTAGAAGTAAATTTTAAAGAACCCATTCATAGCTAAACACCTTTTAAAAGCCCAGAAGGCTAGGGTGGAGAGTAAAGCTGGCTTCTTCATTTGCCAACAGTCTTTAGAGTGCAACTAAAGGTTTCTATTCTTTAGTACATTACTTTTTTTTTTTACCAAAGGTGGGGGGCAAAATTCCTATGTTCTACTTGAAAATTAAAGACATTAACATACCATTTTTAAAGTAACTTCTTATGAGTATTAGATGATTTTCCATTAATGTAAAAGAAAAAAACTTTGATGAGAAAAATACCACAAAACATGAATGTTTATGCCCAAAATGCAACTAAAAATGTCCAAAATGTCATAAAAACCTAAAAATTAGCATTGCCAGTTACACTGAAAAGAAAAAAAAATCTACCCCCCAAACCTATTACAGTACCTTAAATTGCAACTTCATTACTTTCTCTCTATATATATTTTTTAAATACATGCTACAAATACTGCATTACTTCCAACTTGTTACTTCCAAGATCTGGTAAACACTTGGTGAAAGAAGGGAGTGTTCCACAATGCAATAAAAGGTGTGGGTCTTAATTTAACGGAGGTATAGCAATTTAGGGTTGCTGGTTTTTAAGAACAGAAAGATGGTTTACACATAGTGCCACGGTAGAGTAAGAGAAAACCAAGACCTGAATAAGAGAAGTGACTAATGGGAACCAAGAAGAAATTAATTTACCTAGTAGCCAGGGTGTGTTCTGATGCTGCCTTCAAAGTGTTGGCACTGCTGTAGCATGCCTCTTTTCTGTATCATTACAAATACTGTGAGGAAGCTTGGCTACATGACAGGCACTGTAATGTTTCCAGAAAAGGGTAGAATGCCATGGGATGGAGCAGTGTTTATCCCACATGCATATGATCTAAGGCATCTCATGCTAACCAAGAAGTGCAAGAAAGCACAGTGCTGCAACAGTCCTCACCAGTCCAGATATAAGAAGGTGCAGAGGCCATTTCCCAAACAATTTTAACAGTTGACTTTTTTCCTGGAATGCAGTGCTGCTTGGCAAAGGGGAGGAAGGGGAACTGTAAAACAGAGATGAGAAACTCTAGCTGATCTAGAGGCCAATTTTCCCCTTACCAGAATCCTCCTTATGGACCTCCAACANAGCAAAACAAAACAACTAAAAAAATGAAAACAAAAATGGCAAGAAGAATTGCTTCTTTCTTTTTTGTGTGTGGTGGTGGGAGGTCAATGAAAGAATGCTGGTAGAGTAGCACAGCGATATCTTGCTTGTATTTACTACTGTTTTACAAGATTTATGTTTTTGTTAAAATATAACAACAGAATAAGAAAGAGCACATGACGCATGGGAAGAAGTGTCACCTATCATCAGTAATTTCACTGCATGTAGCAGAAGTTTTCTGGCATTTCATCATAGAAGCCCTTTCTTTCAGTATTCAGAATAAATATTAGAACATTAAGCCATCTATTGTTTCGGAAATCTGAGCCATGTATTCACTGGAGCTACAAAGTTACCAAAAAGTAAGTTTCAGAGAACCTAATGGCTCTTATGGGTGAGTTAGTTTGCTTAGGATCAGACAACGCGTCATCTATCAAACCAATGGGTACACTCAGACATACTGGCCTGAAATCCGGTTGCTTAGCACAATAGGTTGCAACTAGAGTAGGCCCACTGAATCGGTGGGATCTGGTGAGTCAACTCCTCCATAAGATCCATTGTTTCTAGGGGCCTAACTCTAGTTAAAGCTTACTACTGGATTTCAGCCAATGTTTCTGGATTTATCTGACAGAAGACAGCACTCTTGGGAGCAATCATTTCCCTTTCAAGCAAGAGCAAGGCATGGGGCTTGGGACATGGGTTATCAAGTACAGAAAGAATGAAATGGAGACTGATAATTTTTAAATAAAAGATTATTTCACCCAAGCAGCAAAAACCGGAACAATTATATTACGATCCTATGCATTTTACTAAAGAATGTTAAAATGCACTGAATTCAGAAGGGCTTCTACACAAGTAAATACACATACACCTGCACCTTGCCATATTTCCTTTCTGTTGGGCTGAAGTAGAAAAAATGTGAAGACTGCGGTAAAACCGGTTTCAAGGAACCAAGAAAAAAAAATACATTTCCCAGCTTGCTTCAGTGCCATAAACTGCAGACATTTCCTGTCACAAAGGATCACTTCCCCGGCATGCCACGCCCCACCAAAGGCCTCTTTCCCTTTAACATGGGAGGTGGGGGGCCTTGCATTTGGAAGGGCAACCGGGAATAAGCGGTGGAGGAGCAGCGGTGATCAGGAAAGTGATCTGCTTGTCCTGCACTTCTTAAAGCATCCTCTTCTTTCCCTAAACGTGCCCACGAGTGACAGTGGGGGTCTGTCCCAAAAAAGAGAGGGGGCGAAAAGAAAGAACTTACCCACCCACCCACTTCTCGCCCCTTGCCCTCATCAATTCTGGGTAGATCTAAAAGATTGCTGGAACTGGATTCGAATCCGGGGGGAGCAAAGTCTTTATTGTTGCTCGGCCTGTATATTATTGCACAATAATGGACTAAGGAGAGCAAAAACCAGACATTATTCTACCGAAAAGGGGTGGTGGTGGGGACCGGGGGGGACCCTGTCTCTCTCCGCCTCGCCACAACAGCACGCCCGCTTTTTGCAAATGCAAGCCTCGTGTCTTAAGATTCTTACAAACGCGGCGGACACGTATCCACAAAGACTGCCAGTCGGCAACATACAGTAATACATAAAATGTCAGGAGAAAAGCCGAGAAAGAAAAAGCAGGATGTGAAAGACACCTGTGTTTGGGGTGGCCAGGTTTTCAGGAGACGACGGGGAGGGCCACCCCCTCTCCATCGTCCGCCCGAAGCTTTACTTTCAGTTTTCCTCTTATGACTTTGCACAACAGAGGCCTAAACGCCCGGCTCCTTCTCACTCCTTTCCTGTCACCCATTCGAAGCAGCATCCCTTCTTTCCCCCCCGCTCCACCCCACCCCTAACCACAACTCTCCTTTTCAAAA